CCCCCCCCCCCCCCTGCCACTATGTAAAAGCAGTGTTGAATCGGTAAATATTTACGGCTGAACCTCAAAAAATTCAATGGTCTGATGTTTTGTGGCCCTGGTACCTATTGGAAGAAATGGCTCATTGAAGGTGCTCTCATTCAGCCTTTCTCTACTACAATCGACTTTTTTTGTCTCGCGATGGGTGCGTAGTAAAGTTATTGACTTCCATGTGTACTTTACTGGCCCACATGGGAGGTGCAAAAGTAAACATCGACCTGTAGGTGCGATTGATTGCACTCTGATTGATTATGATTCATTGTAATGGAAGCTTTCTCCTTTCTGCCCCTGTGAATAATCGCTACCATCAAAATTGCTTCACATTCCGCTGTTGTTGCAGTTGTGCACCTCCCGCTGACCGGATTTTGCTCATTTATTGTTTTAAAATGTTTTTTATTTCGTAAAAGCGATGTAAAGGGCTTTCAAATGTTCGCCCTTGTCCCAGCATTTTTCTAAGTTTCTCAAACTCTATGATTGATTCTTGGGACTCGAGCTTGCTATGGAAATGTGCTAGATCCACAGATATCTTTTAAGATCTCCTAGATCGAAATATTGATTATTTTATCCGATTTTACTACAAAATATCATCCTGAAACCTATCGTGGCATTTGTGTCAACCTCCAATCTCAAATTTCATGTTTACACTGAAGTGAACTTGTCTCGAATCTTTCTTTTCAGAACGATCCACTTCATCTACCGTCACCCACATCTACGAGATGTTATGGTAGAAAGCGCTGGTCTGCTGGATTCACATGTAAGACCTTTATGCTATTCAACCCACAGCTATAAACTATCCGGAATATTTTTTTCGTGTGGGACATGGGGAAAGTGGTGGGGGATGAAGTCGTAGTCGGGAATTTCAATCAAGAAGTGAGTAATGGCGTGCTCTAAGGACTCTTGAATTTCCTCTTCTCAGCCCGTTCCACCCGTGAAATTCGGCTTTTTATCGCTCAAAAGAAGTCCAGCAAAGTTTCCTTGAAGACAGCCCTTCCCTAGTGATTCTATGATTTCAGTAAGCGCACTACCGGAACGAGAGACGATGAGTTCTAGCGACTCTTTGGCCGGTAGCCGTCGAGAGCTTGGCGTCGACACGATGCAGCAGGTACGTGTATTGTAACCCTATACCCACCGTAGACAATCACGCTGCATTACACTGACGTGTGAAGAAAAAACACTCACAAGAAGTGGCGCCCCATAGAGACAAGGGTATTTGTTGACGGCATCAAGCTTCGCATCGAAGAGAACGGTCCAGCCGGTATGATCCGCCCCGCTTTCGGTTTTCCTTCACAGTACAGAATTTCCCGAAAGTATTGAAACCAGTACAGGTGGGAGGAGGGGGAGTGGAGTAGGGTTAAGGAGGACTGGTATTGGGGTAAATTAAGCGAGTGGCTGCACTAATTTTTTTCCCCAAAACCCCTACTGAGTACGACCGCCAAATCCTTTATGAATACGGTGCTTTCCCTAGTTGACAATTCCATCCTCTGAACCACGAATTCCATGAGATCGTAGGTGGGTCCAAAGCAATTCCGAGACGTCTGAGATATGAAGAGTTCAGCTTTTGCCGTTAGCACTGAACTCTCTACTTTCACTAGTATTGTGTAAAATCGCGTCATAAGTGATGGATGACATCACGGGGTGTTGTCAATCAAAATGTGTCTGGGGCTCCAAGCGAAGAGGTGGTCCTTGCAGGCAATGTAGACTCTGAAACTGTGCCTGTCCAGGTGGTACCACAGGGACCTGACGAACTTTTGCTTTGGATCATAAATGTGTAGTGGGAACACCCTCAAGTCACTTCTCCCTTCTCGCAGGACGAACTATGCGTGGCTCATGAATAATGCATCAATGCATCCCAGATAGTGGTTTAGGTCTTTTAGCAACGGAGTGCATCTAACATAGCTGAGTAGAGAGTAGGGTAGGCTATATTGTGGTTTAGCTCAACTGGAGCTAATTGGAAGAGCTGGAAAACAGCGACAGGTGGTACCCTGGCCTAATCAGCCTCGAGTGGTACGAAGAAAGGTTGCTGTAGATGTTCTTTCTGAAAACGTCAATCCCTGCAAGCGATTTGCTCCCACTTGGGCCTACCTATTAACAAGAACAGGATCGGAAGTACAGGCTCGAACCGGAAGGCCAAACACTCCACTGTTCTTTACCTGAACGCTCTTTTGAAGTTTGTTTGGGCCAGCTCTGTCGGGAATCGGGTATTCTCATTGTTCGTGAAAAAGTTCTAGTTGATGGGACTGGTTCAGTCTTGGAGAAGTTATTGTGTTGGAACTAAGATGGATAGTTTTTACAATCGGGAATGGGAACTGGTAGAACATAATCGTGATGCTAGTAACTAGTAATTGGTTCTAGAACCCATTTATCTAAAAAGTTTTCCGTAGCTGATCGAAGTGACAGGAGGGACTAGGGCTGGTGTGAAATGAAAGTTGAAGAACTAAGTAGTTCGGTGCTGTCATCCACTGAGTATTTCACAAGAATGAAACCTCACACATGGTCCAAATTCCTACCGTAATCTGAGGCGTAAAATATTTGGTTTGCAACAGAGTAACTGCGTATAGGGCATTGGGGTTGGTCAGTTACATGTTCAGACTTCGACACATCCCAATAATACTTGCTTTTTGAAGTCTCACCTCTCCCACACAGTGCCCCTCCCCTCCTAAGGCTCAGGTAGAAGAAAAAACTATGTTCCTAAGTCCAAGAACCGTCTCTGAGCATGGTTAACGCCGGCCACCGCTCCTTCTCTGCGCTCCAGCGCTGTGCTAGGGACGAAAAGTGCCCCCTATTAACCTAAATGGCTACCAGTTTGGTTGAATATCCGAGGTACCTGAATATTTACGCAGTTAACTTTCAAATTAGTTACCAATAGACAGATAACTGAAATAGAATTGCATGTAGGATGAGTTGTACAGTCTGTGGTGCGCTGCGACCAAAACATGTGATTCTACGACTTCCAATAAAGAGAAGGAGTTATGGAAATTTGAATATAATTCTATTCCCACTTCTGCTCTGGTCGTAACCGTCGCTTGACTGGAGGGTCAATATATACCCGAAAAGGACTGGACTAGATTTATTCTTTCCCTCCTGCGCTCTTGGTCCCACACTGTACACTATCCGCGTTTCTTCTGTTCTCCTATTCGTATGGTTGATAATTATTCAATCACTTGTTTGAAATTCCTGATCATCGGATGTTTTGATGTGAAATATGATCACAGTGACAAGGTATGAGTGAAAAACCGTAAAACCGTAATACAAGCGGATCTGTTTTCCAGAGATGATTTTCAGTGATTTGAAGCCATTACTAGTTTGTCCATATGCAATCCCGATAACACTTCCCAAAGCGCCTTCCAAGGATTGTCCCAGCCAGGTTCTGCCAACCCATGACAGCCATTTTTGTAGAGTTTTGGGAGTGTTTTTGTTCATCCTCATTTTATGCTATTTTTGAATGTCTATCATATTCAGGGTTCCGAAATTCAAGACAGTCCACGCGGAGCACCAAGTGTAGCATCCACAAAGAGAGAAGATGTCAATTATCATCACTCGCAGCCACATGTAGTTCCACAAGGAGGTAGGTAGAATTGATTGCCTTTTTATGGTCCCAAATACGATTTTGTTCTGAAATTTCCTCTACAATCAGGGGTGCCATGGGGAATACAGTTTGTGACTAAGAAATGTTTACTACTACTAAAAAGAACTATTAACTAGGGTTAATTAACTACTCTACTGTTAGTTATCAAAGCTAATAATTTTCCCTGGTATATCTGCAACAGTTGGTATTAACTGTTTTTGTTTACAGGTATTCCTATTCAAGGACAAGTTCTTGTTGATCCGGCAACTGGACAACATTATATTGTGCCGCAGGCAACATTCTTTCCTCCTACTGTTCAACCGATGTACTTCCAACCAACTCCAACTCCTGTTTATTATCCTTATGGACAAGTTCCTACACAGGGTAAGTGAATGGGTGTGGTGTTGGTCCAGTGGGTTGATATATTTGTTTATTTATTATATTTATACATATGTTACATACATGTTTAGTTTTATATACATGAGGTCTATAAGGCAGCATAAAGGGTAGGAAAGTAGCACAACGGGTAAATCAACGTCTCGTTTCTGCTGCCTTAGAAACTACGGACCACATTTTTTGGTGGTCACGCTTGACCCCTTGAACCACAAAAGGGTTCCAAACTCGCAACGTCGTCTCCGGCTGTGAGAGCCACACGGGAAGGAAATCGTCGATTTAGACGACGATGTTTTTACTGCTTTGTGGTGCTTTGAGGTCGTTTTGATATTGATTCGTGCGCATCTATTTATAGTTTGTTCTATAGGTAATGCGCTGTATAGCACAGCCGTTAGAAAATAAGGGAGCACAAGGTATAAACAAACAAAACATCAATAAAAATGAAAATATAATCAGATACGATTGGATACCTAACATGGTGTGAGCAAGTTTGGATGAATTGAAATTTAGGTTATGTGATGCAGTCGGCACCACCCCAAGCCCAATATTCTGTTCCAATAGCTGCTTACCAGCAGCGGCCGTTTGGTTTTCGGCCAGGTTATGCACAGAGTACCGCATCTAGTGAAGACTTAAGCAGAAGAGATGAAAGGCTTGGTAAGTACTTCTCCAATGAGTACTCCACTAGTACTCCAATGCCTTTTTTGGAATATTTCGTTCGTTTTATGGTCCTGACTTCTTAGTGGTTCTCTCATCAAGACTTTTCGGAAAAATTAGACAGCCAATGATCAAATCGAATTCGTCCTCCAACATTGTTGCACCTTGGCCTGACAACCTCTACAGTTACTTCATCCCTGTCCCTTCCTCCAGATCTCCTATCAAAAACTTTCGCTGTGAAATTAGTTTTTATGGGTCTCCTACACGAAACTGCGGACCAACACGATTTAAAGTACCGTATTCTTAATGATGAGCTGCTTTAAAAGGCCAGGTTTCAGTTGAATTCCCTGCTGATCATTTTTCGAGGCCTGCCTTAAAAATGACCAAGAACAAAGGTCCACTTGGATAGTTTCAAACACGGTTGAGCGTCACGCGTATTTGTGTCTCTTCAGAGGATCCACCACCATCGTCGCCTTCAATTTCTTTGGCTACACAGTCAGGGTTTTTCCCTACGAATTTCATCCCAACAACTGCAGCGCCTTCATTTCCTCTTCAATATCGGTAAGTTTCCAGAAAGTTGGTCCTTCGAACTGTAAATATTATTAAGTGTGCTTGAAATTGATCGCAACTGCCTGGTTTACATTGTGATATCTCAGTTTTTAGCCACCAACAAAACCCCCAGCGTAGCAGTCCCAATAGCCAGCCTGAAGACCCTGAAAATGGGAGAGACGGATTTAGGTATTTCCACATCTGTCCAAGGCTTGCTGAATATTACTAAATCTTGAATAATCTTGAATATTAGAGATTTTAGGCGAGATGTGACCCGCGCAAGCTCCGAATTCCAACGCCTATCTGGGGAATTCCGAAGGCAAGGAAGTGGCGAGTTTGGCCGTTCCAATGACAGTTTCTCACGAACTGGTAACGGCGAAACTGCCAGATCCGAAGGCTATTTCCGTGGTGGCGCTGCGGAGAGTGATGTGTTCAACAGGAGCGGTGAAGGCGCGCGGATGACTGAGCGGACTCCTCTCTACGGAGGGCCACCACCATGGTGGGGTCGTCATAATGACGATCTTGGCGATTCACGTACGGATGTTGAAAGGTAACCTCTTCATAGACGACTGTTTGTGAAGCATTTCCACACTATATTTCTTGTATAGCAGTCCTCGTGCTCATCAACGATCGTCACCGCCTTCTTCGGCGTTATCAGAACCAGAATCAAACCGTGTTCGACAGCTCCCAGCCAAGGCTGTTAGAATGGACATAGATCTAAGTAAAGTAGGCGAAGATGAAGCACCAAGACCAAAACGTAAGTGACTCAAAGGTATCTGCTCTTCTATTAGGGTATTTCTGTGATTGCTTTCGTGTCCCTTTGTGGTGCTCTTATCCGTTGTAATTCCCGCTTCTGTGATGTGAGGATGTCCGTGTTTAGCGACCATGTCCAGATCAGTTCGGATGGATATCGATCTCAGCAAGCTACCGGATGAAACAAAGACTACTGAGAAGAAAGGTGGGATCAATAACTGTGCTACACTGGTCATGATTTTCGGGATTTTCACTGTTGCCTTTATAATGATGATATTTCCTACCATCCATTTGTGCACAGTGCGTGTTTGTTTACGCAGCCTTCTGCGGGCAATCCTTGTATGCCGTGCCCTTCACCTTCGTCGCTGCCAATCCTCCCATTGTCAACGATAAAGTAATGTTGTGAAGTGAATGTCGTTAGGAGCACACAAAGCGGGGGTTCGTGGTTTGGGTGAAAAATATGAAAATAAAGTTGAGGTCTGCTTAGTTTAGTAATACACATGAGCGAATTAAGCTCACTGAATGAGGATAAAATGAGTGTTCAGCACGAGAATTATTAGGCCTATCATCATCACTTGGAAATATGTAATACTGTTATATAATTTCTTTCTATTTTCGACTGCTGTGCGCAACAAGCCTTGCGAGCCGAACCCGGCTTCCCCAATAAACCTGAATGCCTAAGAAAATTTTATAAATGCGTTGCGATTCGAAAAGTTCCTACGTTTCTATCGTGTTGAGCTAAAATTCTTCATTTTACCTTTTTCCGGTTCTTATTTTTTATCTTTTCTTTGTTTTTTTGTGCATCTGAATAGTCTGACCTTGACTATTTCTTTTTATTACATTTTTCGAATAAATCAGAGCAAAAGAAAATCAAATGGTATTTACTAGGCTGCGCTTTGATCGAATACGCAGATAGCCACATACCAGTAAGATGTCAATTTTTACAGCTCCGTCACGTAATGCTGCTACGGCGTTCACGGTCAACTTCGATTCTGCAGATGAAGAGCTGTCGCTCCAAGATGCAGCGAGAAAGTCAGCACAGGTATACGATTGCTATCCGTTCGGATTAAATTTGACTTGTAGGAAAACTGGGAACATTTCTCAGCTGGGAAGGCAGTTTTCGGGATAAGCTCAGAACTTGCGAGATGTCTAAACATACAGTAACGTCTTTTTTGATGTTCAGCTGGTTCATTCCAGGCCCGCCGAATTCTCAATCGTCGTTCTGGAGGAGGAGGTTCGGCTACCTCATCAGGCAGTCAGGATAGCGGACAACGCGCCGCTCGTGAACTTCCTCAAACTAATCCGAGCAACAAGAATTATTTGCTGAACAAGCTGTTGCAAGGGGAAGGTGTGTCATGCTCAACCGAATATTAATGTTCACCCTTTACATCAATTGTGAACCCGTTATGCAAGTTATCAACCAGTTACATTAACTATTTTGAATCCATTTTTTATCAATCATAAAATGACTGGTAACATTCGCATGACTTCCGATCGGTATACCTTGGGTAAGTGATAGCTCATTAAATCCAACTTCAGTCGCTTCTGTCACTTAAAAACGTGACTTTCATTCTTATCAGTAATCGTCCTGAATTCTCAGTGCAAAACGGCTACTTTGATTATTGCTGACTGATATCCTAGCATTAAGTGCAGGTTATGACCCTGTTTTTTTTTTCGTGCACCCGGGGCTGTTTTAGGCTACAAAAAGGCAGGCACAGTGCACTTCATAATTTTCTTAATTTCGCTGTCTAATTAATCCTGAGAAGCAGGGCAAAATATCGCAAGAGGAATACTGAATAGTAATGTGTTTAGTAAATAATTATGACTCCGCTATCAAGCAGACCGGCGGCAAACTTTTATGAAATCCAGTAATTTTTCTTTTAAGGTCATAATGCTGAGGAGAACCAAGAAGGAGCGGAATCTGAAGAGCGCAAGGAGTGCGACGTATCCAGCGAAGCTGGAACCTACGTAGTTGGTGCGTTCACAGTAGAAAATTACAATGAATTTCAAATATTTGGATGAATTTCAGACATGAGTTCACGCATCGGTGGCGGTCAAGCTAGTCAGTTGATGACGGCGAAGATAATTGAAGATTCTGATGCATCTTCGGATAGCAGTAGTAGTGACAGCGAGTGAGTAACGATTTCCTTATCTTTTTTCAAAAGAAATTTCATTCTGTATTTTGCTGTCGTTGCAGATCAGAGGGTTCACCTATTCCTCGTCCGAAGCCTATAGTCGTGATTCCCAAAGCCACCGTTGTGAAAACTACGCCAGCTCAACCAGAAACAGCCCCCAATGAGCCTACCGATCTCACGAAGGAAATGTCGAAATTGCGTACACTGGCTGGGATTCGACAAACTCCGTCTCCAGCAGAATCACGCGGTAAATCCCCTTCTCCTGCGTTTATTTTTGATTTGATTCAATATTTCGTTTTATTTTGACCATGACAAAGATGATTCCATGGTAGGGGGCTTTGCTTCTTGGAAACGAGCTGTCCATTCTATTCTGCTGCAGACCTCAGCTGTTTTCTAGCGGCTTCATGTACTACACGTCCATCGGGAATGTACGATAATTCGCGTCCTGGTCCAGCAACTCCTCCTCAACTTCCACGTCCCTGTACCGGACGGTCTTCATTGGGTTCTCAGCCGTCGAGCAGACCTCAGACGACAACTCGGGCGGGACAGGCCTCCTCGTCAAACGCGCCGTTCAGGTATGCTTGAATTTCTCTAACTTTCGTAGATTTACGATTTTTTCGAGTGTGTTACTGTAAACACTTAACGAAACGTTCCATTAGTCGACATGGGATGGAGCAATGATGGGGAAGGGGGGGAGGGGGCTCAACTAACGCGTATACTTACCCTGAGGTCCTTTCAGTATTACTGATGCATCTTCAGTAATTTAATTGTCGTAAGCCTCTTACACGTAAGCGTCCATACGCGGTCGTATAATTAGAAAGATTACAGCCATCCCAAGTCGATATGTGGAAGTGTGCTCCTTTTTGGTTATCACTCACATTTAATTGTAAAGATTGGGAAATAGGGTGAAGGCAAACCACCATTTGATGAAATGAAATTTTCACAGGAAATGGAGGTGCCAAAGCGAAACGTACGTGGGATAAGTTTATGTTTTCTTTAATATGTTGCACGCTGTGTCGGTCATTAACGGACAACAGTAGCAAGTAGATTTGCTATTGAAGTCCGGTGATCATCCAGTTTTTCCTATAGTCACCTGTGCTGCTTGCCCATTTCTTGCCGTTTTCTATAGAGCTAGATCGTCAGCTGCCAAGCGGCTATCTCTTTTTGCTTGCTTTCTGTAGTGCGTTGCAGAAAAAGTTTGGTTTTCTTAGCTAGTATTAGGTCTTCAATGAGTAAACGACGAGGCATGGCAATGAAGTACACTGGTTTCATTTTTGTGTGATGAGGCATGATGGAATGTTTGTTTTCTTTAGGTTTAATAATCTATCACCCCATCTTCGATGCTAAGCCTTTATTTGAGATCTTGTCTTGCGTGTATCCCTAAATATTGTGCTATATACTGTAGCGATGAATGTTCATTAACTTTTTCCTTTTTCTAGAAGAGGAGACGGTGGCCGGTACTCCATGCGAGGTAATGCTCCAGGAGTGGCACCATCGAGCCCTCAACAAAACGTTAGAAGACCTCCTTTCAGAGCTGGCACCGCTCCATTGAGACCTGTAAGTTGTCTCTATATGTATTCCGCTCTCCTCTGAAGTCGGTCATTGGCCATTTATCCAGGGCGCAAACCTAGCTCAACAGAAGGAGCAGGAGATGAATGCTTGGCTTCGTCGGAAAGACTATAATCCGATGAAAGCCGCGGCGGAGGCTAGAAAGGCGAAAGAATTGAAAGCTAGGTATGTATATGTTGCCATAGCGTTTCTTTTAAGTAAGTAACTCTACGAGGTAATGGTTGTGCGATCGCACAAAGCAAAACATATTTGGTTCTATCTTTAGTGATTCTAATCTTTCCGTGTTATCAAATAGCAGCGGCACTGAACGGTAGGTCAATTGTAGTGGTCGTGTTGTGTTAAGTGTACAACCCTATCTGGGGAGGCATTTGTCTTACTGTGGCCTCCCATACATCATTGATGAATGCCCTAAGTCTACAATTTATTAAAGCATCCGTAATTCATTCGACTTTTGCATTCATTTCCTTTTATTTCTTCCATTTCTTACAATGCATGTACTTACCTTCAAATGTCATGGTTGTAATGTGGCCGAAGAGTCGGTCAACCTGTATTTCGTGCATAATGTTGAACTTCAATTGAAATTCAGAGGAGAGCAGTTCGTGTCGAATCGTTCAATATCTTTCCATGTTGGACCGGTTGCTGGCAAACCAGCCAGGGTGCGTTTGATTTGTCGTCTGCTTTTTTTCCGAGGGAATAGGAAGGGNGATAGGGATCTGAGGAACCTTTTTGAACAAGACTCAATTTTCAGCTGTGTCTAACAGGTTTTGCTATTAATCTCTTATTACAGAAAGAAGGTTTTGGAGAGATAACTCGCAACAGATCTCAAGAATCTCTAGCGGTTGAGGAAGCAGAACACGCGAGTCAACGAGTATTGGCAGAGTACTCTCGAGGTGTCGTGCAAGACATCTCACGCCTTTCCCAGCAGAGTAGCCGCGCTAGTGGCAAAGTGAGCAGTCTCTTTTTTCGTCGACTTCGTTTCTTTGAGAGTAAATGTAATTTTCAGCAGCTGAGTGGCTTAGCACGTGCCGTAGATATGTTGTCGCAGAAGTGTAAGAAGAGCATCGAGCTGATACGGTGAATGACATTTCTATTTGGGAAGATTTTAAACATGCACCTTTTAAAAATAATGCCTTAATTTCTAGGTCGCAGAATAAGGGCTGTTTGTCTGTCTCTGTAGAAGATCTCCTGGCAGCTGCTGCTGAGCCCCCTCGAAAGGGCGAAACCCTCAACGAGCAGTTGGACCGACTTTCAGATGCGTTCGATGCTGTGCAACGGTAATACTAGGACTACATGAAGACTCATTTCACAACCATGAAAGAAGAGGTTTAGCTATCTCGAGCAGTACTCTTTGGATGGTCATCAATCCCCAATTCCCGATTTCACAGATGACGCGTCTGAGATTCAATCAGTTGCGAGTTCTCTTACCGCACATAGGTAGGTAAGCTGGTTATGTTGTACCTTACTACCATATTCGCTAACAAAATCTTCTTGACTTCTAGTTCCCATTCACGGCGCGATTCTGCATCTCCTAAGCAAAACAAAACTTTGCTGACAGTCCGTCCAAGAAGAACAACCACTCCGCTTTCGACCACACATGAATGATCTGATCAGCAGAACCAGTACCACATGGTTTCATTGCATCATTCATTTACTTTTCTAATTTTTTACTTTGCTTCTTTTGAATTTTTCTGAATAGGATACGGTTATGTTATAGGTAACGTTCGCCTTCTGTACGGCTCTATTTTATGAACTGTTGTTGGCTTTATTTCCTAATATTGAATGTTTTTGTAGCGGAAATAGTTACACCTTTGTATGGAGCTATGCGTTTCTATCGATCAGCTCAAAATTTGCCTTGAATTACTTTTGCTTCATGTTGTACTTACTAAGGATTTTCTTTTTTGGCGGGTATACTCGCCTGTTTCCTGTACTGTTTATTGTTGATGTATGTTCGTGCTAGTCTCCAAAGACCGATGAACTTAAAAATAATGGTCTGTTTATAATATCTGAGCCTTGAGACGGTGTAAATATCTATAAACTCATTATGTCGTTAAGTGTTTCTTATCACGATTACTTTTTGCGCTAACAGACCCTCCACAATCTCAGGAACGGAAATTCAGCTTGGAAACTCGGCGCGGTTATCCACTAAGAACTTCTGAGGCTTGGTTTTTTTTTTTGAATTTTTGGGTGCAATATCTAGCGATCTGACGTTGTCTTCCACGTTGCTAGTTGCCAGTCTTTTGCTTCTCCTCGGCTAACCTTTTCCACTAGTTATTCCTTTGTTCCCCACTACATTGGTAACTCGTCATCCTATTCTGTCTTTGCTACTTCTCAAGTCAGCAGATCCGTAGCGTTGCCAAAGGTGTAGTATGCAATTTCTGTGTCGATCTGAGTTGGTCGAAACCGCAGTGTAAAAAGAGTTTGTTGGGGGTCGAATTTCCGTCATCAGCGAAGCCCCTAATGAACCGCACCTATGTTCACCAAGGTTTCACGGGCTTCTAACTGAAATCCCCAAGTCCACACCAAAGTCACATTGCAACTAACCCTATTTGTGAGCAGCGGGAACATCTAAATTACTTAGTAAATGTACCCCAGCGCTGGTAATAAAGAGTTTTCCAAATTCGAAAAAGCAGGAATAGCAGCAGCGGGTTGCCTAGGAGCCAAGGGTTACGGTAGCGAAGATCTTCATGATCAAAGCACTTGGAGAGTCCTGACTGCCTTTTTAACATACTACTTCAAAAAGGACAACAATGGGGTTTGTAAAACAAGAAGCCGCCGCTTAGGATGCAGTATTTATCTATGAAGACATATTTGGTACCAATTTTTTACCAAGATTTTGGAGCATACGCAACTCATTCAGATCGCGTAATCTTCTGCTCTCCTCTCCTCTGTAGATGTTGGATTGGGCTTCTATCATCTATAGAGGAGA